CCCCCCCCCCCCCCCCCACCCAAGTACATTTGATACTTATTTCACCCAAGATGGCCGCCCGTAACGCAAAGCGCGAGCGCTCGCTGTTGGTCAAGGTTTTGGAGGTTAAGAAGGTGTATGTTATATGAGCACCATTACCAGTTCCCACCTGAACTTCTTATTCAGTTAAAGTGTTTTCCTTCCTTATATCTATAGGTGCTACCTTTTATTTATTTCACTTTATTTTTGCTTTCTCTTTACTTACTTTCTTTAGCCGACTTTATAGGAGACAGTTATTGTTTTGTTGCCCATCTAGAATAGCTCCGCTAATTGTGGGTAACATAATCTTAATGTTTGATAATTGAATCAAACGTTGTTGTTGACGATCTTATAAAAAAATAGCGGGACTGAGAACAATTAAGGAAAGTGAAAAACAAATTGCGCCACCATCACGTCATTTCCATGGTCTGTATTCTTATCGACCAGAGCTCTCGACCAATCAGCGCGCGAGGAATCTTTCAATTATTGTAAAATTTTTTATTGTTGTCTACAGGATATTGTCTACGTACATCATATGGCGGGCGATAAAAGACCAGGTACCGTTGCTGTCCAGACCATTTCGAGCAGTTCACGATGAATTCCGGAAGAGACTTATAGGCAGCAAATCAAACAAGACAAGAGAAGCAACGTGCTTTAGCTACACAAACAACGTCTTGGGTCCCATGCTAGGGGCAGTGTTTATACGCAATGCATTCTCGCCGGAGAGTAAACAGAAGGTATATGAGAGGGTCTCCAACAGGGTTCTTCAGTCCCGTAATCCCGACCCAAAATTTCGTGCAATCCCGTAATCCCGAGGGTTATTTTTGGCATCCCACCTCCCAAGCATACTTTCAGTCCCGAAACACGCCTGGATTTTGCTTTCAAATCCCGAATCCCGAGCTTCAAATTTCCGGGTGCCGAAAAACCTATCGAGGACCCTGATATGACTGTGTGGCAGGATTTTTGAAAACGTACCTACCGAACCAAACAAACTTGCAGTCATTTATTCAAAAAGAGGCCAAAAGGCAGGTTTCATGCATCCCATAAGTCCACTGAAATCACACTAAGGAAGGAAAACGAGAGGAAAAATAGAGAGAGCAAGGCGAGAGGAAGGAGGCGAAAAGAACCAAGCAATGGTTGTACTCTTAGCTTTTATATTGGTTACTTTAGAGACGGTGACGAAAAAGGTCTACTTTGTCAGTAACGTTTTGTTAATATCATCTGGAAAGTGGCCGTTGTAGAGAGGTGGCCGTTGTGGAGGGGTGCGACTGTAACTGGAATTTGGATATGTAGCTGTTTCGGGGCAAGTGCGAGAACCAATAACGACAACGACAATGACAATGACAACGATGGCGTTTGGTAATGAATTTAACGATGAGTTTGACGGCAATAACAATAAAAATACGAACAAAATGATAATGGCCCTCGCATATAATGTCAGCTACTGGTTGAAGTGACTTACAGGGACACCCTCTTGTGGGAGCCATTATCATTTTTGTTCGTATTTTTATTGTTATTGCCGTCAAACTCGTCGTTAAATTCATTACCAAACGCCATTGCTGTCATTGTCATTCACGTTGTCGTTATTGGTTCTCGCACTTGCTCCGAAACACCTACGTATCCAAATTCCAGTTTAAGTCGAACCCATCCACGACGGCCACCTCTCTACAACGGCTACTTTCTTCTGTCCCCAGGGTAGCCGTTGTGCAGTGGCGAATTTAGGGAAGGGGCCCGGAGAGCCGCCCTCCACCCTTATTTTTAGACCAAACTGAGGCCCGAGGGGCCGAAAAGATTTTTTGAGAGACGGCCCCCCCCTTATCTCAGGG